AAAGTTCTTCAGTTTATACGCTGCATAAGCTCGGTAAAAAAGATGATTTTATTACTTCATGATGTTTGGTAACGGCACATCCAACGCCTGCTTCGCTTTTGGAGGCATCTGTATACAGAATTGTTTGGAATTGGTTCTTGCTTATGATTTCTTTGAAGTGTTACCTTATGAGAAGACTTGAGGTTTCATGTTTACTGTATTCTAATAGGGAAGTGATTGAATGTGGAAGCGGTTTATTTCAAGGCGGAGTATCTGGGATTGGGAAGCGATGTGTTTTAGTAAGGTCGATGGTGTTTCTTAGAGTTAATTTCTGGATGTCTAATATTGATTGGATCCCTTGAGGGGTCTCCGGAGGCAATGTTAAAGTAATTAAATGATAGACTGGATTGAATGGGTTTGCGGATATGGAAGCAAAGTAAGATTGAAGAAGATACTCTCGTCGAATCCAGAGAGGTGGTTCATTAGCCTCGCAGTAAAGGCTATCTATGGAACTAAGCGCCTAAGCAAAGACGAATACAAGTGTTATGCACAGAGTTCAGTAGCTTTAAGTCAGATTTTGATGCAGACATGTATATGTACTTTGATAGTGCCTTGATGATATTGAGTCTCTTTATTGCATTGCCCTTTAATACACTAATATTCTGTTTCCAAGTTAGCCTACTGTTAAACGTTAAACCAAGTATTTTTTGATGAGTAACTAGTTGCAATGGAGTTCCATTAAGGGTGATAATTAGACTTTGGCTGCAGGGTCTTCTGCTAAACCATATTAATTTCGATTTATTCCTTGAAAGAGCCAATCCGTTTTTTTTTGGACCATTCGCTAAGTTGATTTACGGCGGTTTGGAGTACGTTGCATGTGGCGATTGTACTTTTTCTCTGACAATATAAAATAAGGTCATCTGCATACATTAAGTGCTTGACTGGTGGACAAATACTGGAACAAATAACAGTTAATGTAAGAATGAACAGTGTTGTACTAAGTACTGAACCTTGTGAAACTCTATTATTTGGCCCGAATGTCGCCGAAATTTCTCCATTTATTTTCACTTTGAACGTTCTTGGTTGTAAAAAGTTTTTTATGAAGGAGTAAATATTTCCTGTTATCTTGTATTGACGAAGCTTTTCAAGAATGTCTTGACGCGAGATAGTATCAAAAGCTCCTTCTATATCAAAGACAGTAGCGATCAGATCCTATTTGTTAGCACTAAGTTGTCTAAGGTTGAACGGTGACGTCTGAAACCGGATTGCGCTGAGTCAATTATTGCATATTTTTCGAGAAGCCATGTTACTCTTGAATTAATCATTTTCTCAAACAGTTTACATAATGAACAGGTTAAAGAGATAGGTCTGTATGATTCTGTTAGGTTTGAGGGTAGATCAGATTTTTTATTGGTATGATAATTGATTCACGCTACAGTTTGGGTAATTATTTATTAATTTTGAATTAAACGACGGAAGAATACAGATATTCTTGAATACCTTTATTTTGAAAAAAATTATGTAAATATTGTTTATGTAAAATATAAAGGAAAAAACTTATAGACAAAAAATCAAATTGTGACCATAAATTATTGTTTAAAAAAACGCAAGATAAAAATACAAGTACTTTTTCATCTATTCGTCATCTAGTAACCCCCACCTATGTCTTAAAAGCTTCAGATATCTGCGAAAAGTTTTGCCGTGAAGTCGATGATTTTTGCATAACCAGACTGGGCTAGATATCGCTTATCTCTAATGTCACTATTCTTTGGTGACATATGTAACTTAATATGTTTATTAATATTATCTTTCGCATTACATTTAAAACACTAAAAAAATCACTAGCTGCATTTTTAACTTGCTGTCATGATTTGTGGGCAATCTTATGTTATGTAAGTGCTCTCTTTAATATCTGTAGACTGCCCTTGACTCTTCCTGTAGATTTATTATTATATTTCAGGGTATGGAATCATCGTTATAGTCTAGGTCAGGGGAGGCCAACCTGTCGATCGCGATCGACCAGTCGATCCCGTTCCCTAGGTCAGTCGATCGCGTTCGCTAGGTCAGTCGATCGCGGACAAGAAAAAATTATCGGTTTAATATACCTACCTATTCCAGTCCTTAATATTACGAAAATTATTTGAGTGCTAGCAATCTTGCATCGATCATCGCGAGCGACTCACATTACTTTTTTTCCAATCTAATACAGTTGAAAAAATTATTAAATAAGAATTAATACTTTTGTTTTATTTAGGTATATACTGGCGAACAATAAAGCCAATTAATCCAGAATTTTAGCACTTAGAGCCGAATCGGTTTCAGATTAAAAATTCTTTCAGATATCGAATCTTTCAGAATCAGATAGAATAGTATAAACAACACATTTTTTGACCACAAAAACCAATACAAACATACATTTATTAACACCCATGGACAAAAATCTATGATAGATTATGTTATATCCAACAGAGATATACATCTATCAAAAATAATCGACGTAAGATGCCTCAACTCAGCAGATATAGGTAGCGACCATAGCCTAATATAGTGTATAATAAGAATAATCCTGAAATATTTAACACCTATGAGAGTGGAGCCAACACAAACAAAAATCAAAGTCGAAGGATTAAATACGGATCCGCGGAATACTTATACAAAAAAATAATATCAGAGAAGATCGCTGGAAAGAAATATTAGAAAACTATAACATCGAGGAGAACTGGGGAAAACTCAAAATGACATAATTAACGCAGCAACAGAATCACTTGAAGAGAGAAAAAGGTAACGAACACTAACATATCAAAAAAGGAAACATCATGGTTTAGAGTGGAAGTGAAGATAACATGTGAATAAAAGAATAAAGCCTTTTTACAATACAGAACATAACAAACACAACAGGCATATAACTACGAATATAAACTAATCAGAAATGAAACAAATACTTTAGTTAGACAAATAAAAAAGGAACACTGGCAGAGTTTCTCAAAACAGATGGAACACGACTTCTACTTCTACGGAACACAAAAAGAAATATGGAGAATAATCAGAGGACAAAGAAAAGAGGTGAACGAAGTAATAAAAACGAAACATATTTTGAAGGAAACATGGGTAGACTACTGTCGATCCCTATTTGCTAAAGGTAACGATAATGAACCACCAACACTAGAGGTGACGACAAACGAAGAAATAAATATTGAGGAGGAAGATGTAAAGGAAGCATTTAGAAAACAAAAAAATAGAAAATCACCAGGAGAGGACAGAATACCGAACTCCTAAAGTACGGAGGACCAGATCTAACCAAACAACTATTAAAACTAATACAAAAATAATAGAACAAAACAGAATTCCTCAAGAATGGAGATCAAGCATCCTAATACCTCTCTTCAAAAATGAAGACTAATTGGACCTGGAAAATTACAGTGGAATTAATTTATTAAACACAACACTAAAATTAAGAACCAAAGTGATAACAAATAAACTGAATGAAATTATAACACTAGCAGTAAAACAACAAGGTTTTAAGACGGGAAGATCATGCACCGACGCAATATTTATATTGAGACAAGTGCAAGAGAAATTCCTCTTATTGGTCTGTATTTAATAGATCTTCCAAATATTCCACCCATCTATTTATTTTCTGTTGTTTCAGCTAGAAGTAAGCCTTCTTTGTTTCTGTAATACTGTGGATTATTGTTTGTAGTTTTTCTGGATTTATTAACTTCTTAGTAGAATTTTTTTACCTGTTTGTTTATGTAAGCTTCTTCTATGTTTTTCAATTGCTTTTCTGGCTGTTCTGTTTTCTTTTTTATGCAAATTTTTTTCACTTCCCTTCTTCTTTGTATATTTGCCCTATTTCTTCTTGCCAAAACGTTTCTACATTCTTCAACCAGTCTTGCCGTCTTTTTATATGCTCTCTTCCTATATACTTTTCCGCTGCTTCCGACATGGCTGTCTGTATGGTCTGCCACTCTGCATCTATATCCTGTTTGTCTGAATTCTCTAGTTTTTTATTTATTTCTTCCTCTAGTCTGTTTACAACCTCCTTTTCTTGAATGCGCTCTAATTGGTAATTTAGTCATCTCTAACAGGTTTTGGTAATATTGGTAGTTCTTAGAGAGCTCTCTAACAATTATTGTTGGTTGTCCAAATATAAATGTTCATCCTAATTTCCAGTATTCGATCGTTTATTTGCTGATAATCTTGAGTGTGTTTTCTCCATTTATTTTTATTAATGTAGATATTACTTTTGATGTTCTTTCATGTTTGCAGAATCTGTTTCATATGTGTGTATATTTTTCTATAATTTTCTCTCCTTGAGCCTTCTTTTATTTTACTTAAGACTATTATATATGTGTCTAGTCTTTCGATTTCTGAAAGTTTCATTTTGTTTCGTTGCGATGCGTTGTATATTCCATGTTACTGTTCTCATAATCCTTTTTTTTTGCCCAAGTCTTATATCCTTGATTCCTTCCAAATCCTGAGTCTGTGTTGAATTGTTTTTTGCGTAATGAATTTTTCCGAGTGTCGGGTAGCAGGCCCGGTGCCTTAACCTCCTATTCTTTGGAGGACCATTTTTCCTGCTCGTTGATCAAAATCATTTCCAAATTCAATTTAGGGTCATTATCGGTAAATCCATCCAGATACTGAAGATCGATACTTGGGAGGGGGGGAATGATGGGTTTGGACAGGTTTGAATAGGGTTAAACAATGATATCCCCTGTATGGTATTATGACATAAACCAAGGCTCGCGTATGGCAGGGGCGTATCCCTGTAGTAGATGTGTCACCTATCGGAATCATAGATGATTATCTACCCGCTATCCATCAAAATTCATTTTTAACACTTGTAATCATAGCTTTAAAATAATGTACTTTAAATATTTTTACGTTTTGCCAAAGCAAAGTTATAATTTGCATAATATAATAATAAATTTGCTCTCGATCTTTAATGACCGATTTTAAGTTTTGAAAGTTATTATTAGTTTATTATTGCTTAGATACAGCTTTTCCAATTCTTTAAAATGGTTAATAATAAAGAAATAATAACAAAAACCTTCGCCATAGTTCTAATTCAAAAAATGATTTGGTATTTACTATTTCAGCAAGAGAAAATGGAACAAAGAAGGAACTTTCTTCATCCAGAGTCCGCTGCTGGTCTTCAACAAGCTCGAAGTGTTCCACCCGCTTGTCCGTGGCCTGGTCCAGCATCGATCGGGAAATCCTCCATTCCACCTACCACTGGACAAAGTTGAGTTACTTACGAATGCGTCTATAGTTACGGAAATATGATTTTAACTGGGCAAAGTGGTTACTTAAGCTTTTAGTACTTTATGTTTAAAGAAAAAGTGTAGTTTAAACTTGTCAGTACAGTCTAAAAATGAATGAAACTATAATAAAGGATGATTTACACTTTTTAGTGTACTATCAAATGGTTAAGTAGTATATCTGCCAAAATAGATAGTACCACGATCTAGAGCGATGAGGAATTATTAACATAGGCTGCATTTATCATGTTTGTCTTACTTGTCATTAGTTATCGTATTGAGTTTAAGTTACAGCTAATATATTTTATATTGTGGTTCTATAAATAGAAAGTTTTAGTACAGGATTATTTCTAGTTATATAAAGTTGGTGTAAATAATAGCCTAAATTAAAAAAATCAGAAGAATATCAGCAACAAATTAACAAATCTGTAGCACTAGTAGTTGCTACATAAAGTAGTACTGTTTAGTCTCGTAAAGGCACAAATAGGAAAAAGTATTTTTACATGTAGAATGTTCAAATCCATTGGCGTTTATCCAAACCGAATTACCGAATTTAATTAGGTCAACTTAATTTAATTAGGTCAAATTAATGTCGTAGGAAAAAACATATGAGTGGTTTACTGAAAAAATACCGAATTTTTGATAAAAGTATAGTCGTCAGGCTAAAAACACAGTCACAGTAACGGTTGCATAAATAAACAAACAAATTGATTCTGAAAGTTTGAATAATCTAATCTATTTGTAGAGAAGCCTGTTCAAAGTGTACTAGGTTTCACTTGCATTGTTGTGTATGGTTATGGGACCTTATTTTGTTGAGGATGGGAATGAGAATCTTCCACACAATATTCTAGCATTCTAGAACTATAAATATTTTCTAAAAAATATTCTTTAATGTGTATAACACATCTCGAAGTGAACATTTAATTTATGAATGTGTTGCTTGTGTGAGTCCATTTCAAATAGGTAAAAGAAAAATAAATAGGACTTACTCACAATCAGTTTAATTTAACTATCTGACGACCGGTTTCGCTTTCTAGAATACGCAAAGCATCTTCAGGTCTCGATACAAAGTTAATTAAATGCTGAAATAATAAAACCCATATTAGGGTGTTGTCTTATAAAGATAAACAAAAGATAAAATAATGTAAATTACAGTAATTATGCCAATATTACATGTCTGTAGGTTTTTTTATTTTTAATATGAATAAACTATTTAAGCAGACAAAGTAAGACCCACAAATTGGTATAAAATAGTCTATTGAATTGGAATAAATTAGTAAATAAACTATGAGAAGGATACTTCAAACTATCCTACTATCCTGTAATTGCTGATGATAGGGATCTTCAGTTTATACTATTGTAACTGTTTGGCAATCAACGGGAAAGTTTCTTGATAAGATAGATTTTATCCAATGAAGTAGAAAAGAGGTGTCATGTGTAAAGCTCGGATTTATAGGCAACAAAAATTGAAGAAAAAGGCGCCTATATAGGCAAAGATTTTTATTAAAAAAGGTAAGAATAATATTAACATTTAGGCAAAATATAGGCAATAAAGGAGTATAACTGTACAAAGTGAATTAACGTAATATTAACTTAAGGCAGGTATATTTACACATCATAATCATAACATTAGTATAAATAAACTAGTAACTAAATAACTGTAAATTAATAATTAAACATTGTAACCACTTAAAATTTTATCATTAATAGAAACCACTAAATGTTTTTCAATATTTTCGGTCTTCGATCACTTAAACGATCACGAAACTATGTCTTCGATCACTTAAAATTAATTTGTACATTGAAAACAAACGTTCGACATCGACAGATGTATTTGGAGCATATTTCAGAGCGGATAATAAATGGCATAATTTGAAATTCCTCAGAAAATGTCCCATTCAAAACTTTAGCAACATTAGATAAAAACGAAAAACCTTCATTCTTGTCGAAAACATATTTCACTTTTTTTTAAATTAATTGACCGTTACTTCCAGGTGCCGATTTAATTTTCGTCTTTAAATTATCTATTATTTTTACTGACTCACATAAATGTATCTCTTGTTTTTCTAATAAGGTAATTGTGGTAACTATTAATTTATTATTGTCATTGATATAAGTAAGTTTCTGTTCCGATTTGGAATTTTTTAATATATTTTTTGCTTCTCGAATGGCTTCGGAAATATCATCATCAATTTCTGACATAACTAAATCTATTTTATTGCAGTGTTCAAAGTAAAAAAAAACTGCTTCGAGCCAGGTTCCCCCACCTTCTAATTACTGGTTTAGGTGGCAAAGGACACCGGGAAGTCTTTCTTATATATTTGCACCCTCAACGGTGCCTTTACAAAAACTTTTTTCATATAATTTATAAAATTATTTACCAACGGAAACAGATTTCTTATTTCTTCAGCAATTCTATTTACCCCGTGGGCTACACAAGTGCAATGAATTAAATTAGGATAAAAAATCTTTAAATTAACAGCAGCTTTTAACATATATGCCGCAGCATCTGAAAGCATTACTATTTTATTCACTGTAATAGCGTTGGGTAAAAAGAGGTTTGTTAAACTATCTTGTATAAATCGACTTATTGTTAAATTGTTTGTTTTTTCCAATTCTTTAACGGCAACTAAATAAGGTTTTTTCGCAAAGTTTTCGTTCAAAATTCCAATAATTAAATTAGCTATATACCTGCCGCATACATCTGTCGTTTCATCCACGATAATATACAAAAAATTGCCCTCTAACTCCCGCTTAATTTTTGAAATACATTCCACATAACATATTTCCACAGTATGTTTTCTCAATGTACTCTCGTCCGGTAAGGATTTATTAAGATATTTTTCCAAAAAGCATTTAAAACTAGGGTTATTAACTTTATATAGAGGAATGTTGGATGCAATCATCATCTGGCATAAATCAAATTTAAATGCGTCTTCCTCCTTTTTTTTAACTGCTTAAACTATCCCGCAGAGATATTTGAGCTAACTTAGAGGAATTTAATTTTTCCAAATTACGTTTATGAAGTGGGGTTCTACAATGCTGGTCAATAAAGTACTTTTTTCTACTTGAAATCTGAGAATTTAAAAAAAATAATTAGAATTCTAAAACCGCTTTAGAATTTAGTTATGGTGGTGGGACGAGAAAAAAAGAAAAAATAAAACTTACCGATTTGCCACATGGTTTACAAAATGTTCTATCTCCTTCTAGAGAAAGTTCCGAATATGGTGCGATCCATAACCTTAATTTAGATGTCATCTTTTCACACAAATGTCTGAAACGTTTTAAAACGTGTTCTCTGCTTTTCGGTATACGCAACAAAACTAAACTAGGATATAGCAATTTGTGACTAACTCTGATACAGTAACCGACTGTACAACTGATAATAAACTAATAAAGCTTAGGGATTTCCAAATAGTTAACCCCTTAAGTCGTTTTTTTTTAACTTACATTAGCTTGTCAAATTTACCTCTAAAACTCTAATAGGCAACAGAAAATTCATTTTCTCCAATTCAGAGATGTAGTGCTATTAAGTCCCCCTTTTTTTAACTTTAATGTCTGTTTTGTCCTTTTAAGTGTGTTCTGTTTGTCCTAATTGTCCTTAGTTGTTTTAGTTTTAATAATTTTAACATACTTGACTTTACAATCATCTGCCAAACAACAGTAATTTAATTGAACGTTATCAAAGGAATTTGATAATTACAAGCTAAAGGAATTTGCACACCCATACAATTGTACATCTAACTTCATTCATAGTCATACAACTATCACCTTAATAAAAAATTTTAATAAATTAACACACATTCCGAAAATATATCTCTTGAATAAATATAAATAATTTTTAAAGAATTAAATAATACAGAACATCACTTTCATTTAACAAACAATCACATTACACCTTTTTTCTACTTCATTAGATAAAATATCTCCTCCCCTTAAGAAACTTAACCGTTGATTGTCAAACAGTTACAATAGCAAAAACTGAAGATCCCCATCATCAGCAATTACAGGATAGTTTGAACTATGTTCTCCCAACCATTAATTAATCGTGTACTGGCATGTAAGTAATGTTTTGTTTATTTACTAATTTATTACAATTCAATACCAATTTTTGGGTTTTGCTTTGTATGCTTAAACAGTTTATTCATATTAAAAATAAAAAAAACCACATACATGTAATATTGGCATAATTACTGTAATTTATATTATTTTATCTTTTGTTTATCTTTATAAGACAACATCCTAATATGAGTTTTATTATTTCAGCATTTAATTAACTTTGTATCGACAGACCTGAAGATGCTTTGCAAATTGTAGAAAGCGAAACAGTTAACTACCTATATCATCTAGGTAGTTAAATTAAACTGATTTTGAGTAAGTCTTATTTATTTTTTCTTTTACCTATTTGAACATTTAATCTTAGATGTTGAGCCGTTATGATATATTTTATCTTTGTTTATGATATACTTTTTGAGATAATAAAAAGACAGCATTTAAATAAACAGATAAAAACCTGTTAAACGATAAAATAAAATCAATTACACATTAAAAATAGAAAGCTTTTAAGCGAGTTAGTGCCATATTTAGCAATTAATACATTTCTTATGATATTTATAAAATTATTACACATTATTAGATTATTACAAATCTCCAAGATTTTTTAGATATCCATACAGTTATTTCTTGTTGTAGGCCTAGGACTAGAACTAGAATTATTATATAACCTACTTTATAAATTCAAACGATAATAAATGTATATTAGACAGATAAAAAATTTCAAATTTTTTTCAAATATTTTGTAAAAATTAACCATGCAGAAAGAACAGCTTTAATAATAAATAAATACTTGAAAAAAATAAAAACATATTTTAATATTAAATAAGTACTACATTTAAACAACGAATTATTCATATTTCTTAAAAATATCTAGTGCTTCTTACTCAATATTTATAACTTTTAGTATCACTAATTCCAGGGAAAAGTTCAAA